AAAAAAAAAATTCCCTCAACCCGGTCCCTCCTTCTATCTCTCCCTCCTCCTTTACCCTACCTCCTAACTTCTTTCCATTTCATTTTTCACAAAAATCCTACTGGTTTTGAACCAGGGACCTTCTGAACACTAAGCTGATGTCTTACCCCTAAGCCACCAGCGCCACTGAAAGTTATTTTCTTTTATCTTCCTCTTAAGTTACATCTTCGACTATAATTCCAGAAAAATCAATTAACTTACTTTCTAAATCACAAAACTATACTTGGTTTCGAACCTTCCAACTCTTGTTCACTACGCCGGTGTTTTACCAATGGGCCACCGATGCCACAGAAATTTTTGAGCTTTAATGTTCCTCTTATGTTACATGTCGCAATATAATTCCATAAAAATCTCATTCCAAAAATACTTCAGTTTTCGAACCACGAATCTTACATTTACAACGCCGGTGTCTTACCTCAATACCACCAGAACATGTACGATGTGTATGTCAGCGATCGTCCTTATATTATACGACTTGGTCTATAGCTTCAGAAAAATCATATTTACCTTTTTACTTTTCAATTTCTATTGACAAAAGACATCGTGGTCTAGAACCCCGTACCTTCCCAATTCTACGCCAATGTCTTACCCACGTGCCACCAGATCTATACAAATTCGTTACCTTCACCTTCCTCATATAGTGCCACTTGCTTCCTACATGCACAAATTTCTTACATTCTTTTTTTCACAAAAATATTCATGTCTTCGCACCACGTAACATCTAAACCATAAACTGGTCCGTTACCAAAGGACCACCATTGTTATGACACCTATTCGCCTTCGTCTTCCACATATCCTACCACTTCGTGTTTACCTTTACAAAATTCCTGTTTACTTTTTGCTTCGTTTCAAAGTAATTTTACGACTAACGGTTGGCCAGTCAGTTTTCTTTAATTCAGAGCCCATTCAGACCATCATGACCAGATCTTAGTCTTGAAGTAGCCTCACTGTTTGGCCTTTAATAGGAATCCTTTCTGATAACAAGACGGGTCTATCCATTCTCACTTGTCACAGGCAATTTCTTTCTAAATTTCGTCCTTCCTCCTCTAAACTATATGTCACGACCTCTACAACTATACATATACAGGATGGTTCACTACTTTAGGGTATAACTGCAAGAGGTGATTTCCCAGGTCTTTGTGATCAAAAAAGTTCATATAAACATGTGTCCGATTTTGGACGGTTACGGTGTTATGACGGTTTTAAACTCAGAATAGAAGGTAACGATTACTGACCATAAACGGGACAAAATAATAAGCCAGCATAATACATGATACATTTAAAGTATGAATGTAAAATTAACTTCGTGAAATTACCTTTAATTTGAATTTATTGGTGCTTAAAGCTGATTTTCGAAAATGCCACCGGACATACCAACCCACCCCGCCTTAGGTATCTCTCAAGTGTCGAGATAACGAGAACGCTCTGTCTGTAGCTGGCTAAAAATAGCGACCTGACAGCTGACAGACGCGGTTCACACGAGGGCGTGCACGGGAATGAAAAAAAAAGGTCATAACTCCATAACCGTTCAAAATCGGACACATATTTATATGAACTTTTTTGATCACAAAAACCTAGGAAATCACCTTTTGCAGTTATGCCCTAAAGTCGTGAAACACCCTTTATACTGCACATGGCATCTTTTGGCAATTTGTATATATATATATATAAGGCCCTGTCAGCCCACAACAGATTCTGCATTTTTTTTCAGTAGCTCACGCTAGACCGGCAATTTAGGCACCTCAACGATCATAAGCTTCGCCGCCGCAAAATTTAATCGTGTTCTGTCGGGCTTCGCCTTATGCAGTATTCTGAACATTTGCATTTTCACGATCTTCTGTGGCTTCTGGGTGTTGACCGCTCTACGCCTTGGGATATTGGTGTTGTTGCGGAGACCCTTGATTTCTAAGCCCTGCACTTTCGAAATGTGGGTATTTGCCGCAAATCTCAACGCAAGCATACGGCATTGCAGACATAAATAATGCTCTGTGGATGGTACATTTCATCTTAGAGCTTAATCGCACACTTTTCAATGGAGGTCATGATCTAATAAATGTTGCGAAGGCATTGGACTCGATGATTTCTGTATCTAATCCTCTTACCGAAAAATATACAGATGTTGTACATGACTCACGAAGGGAGTTCTTCGTCCGTTCAATATGATATGACACCCAACCGATCTAACTCTCTTGACATAAAATTGCATTTCTTTTGTTCCAGCGCTCACACTGCGTCTCAATCGCATCCAGACTTCGCTGCAGCGTTCAGAGAACATACTCTTCTTTGCTCTCAGTCGCATATACTAGGTTCCAGCAGCAAACACACCTAGATATACACTAGTATCTTTGATGGAGGGGGGGGGGAGGTTCATTTATACCTACGCTGTACAACGCCTGGTACTCCTTTTCTCTTGGCGTAAACGTTTCGCCTTCGACCGAAACTCTGAATTTTTTCTCGGCAAAAATATGCTAACAGGCTTGATTATACTAACGGAAATTTTAATTTGAACTTATACGCACTGTTGTATGGTCCCTATCTGCAGAGAAATCTCCACTGTGTCTTATGGCCGCCCACCTGTACATTTCTCCAGGTACTTCGATTTCCCCTGCCAATCTTCGTTCACCATCATCTAGAATTGGTACAATACGCTACAAGTAGCCAAAGTACCAAATGGTCTTTCTCACTCCAATAAAAGCAATAATTAAAGTATTGTGTCCACATCCCACCCCTTGGCTCCATTTCTCCCAACGTCAATCTAACATTCAGCAGGACTCCTAATGATTGGGATCTGCCTGATGCAAGACCTCAGATTATTGATAGTGCTATAGTGAGTGTCCGATGAAAGTTGCATTGATGTTTACAGAAATATGAATCCAGAGACTGAAAGCAGGAAGGCCTTATGGCAGGGCTTCCAGGTACTGTACAGTAGCATTGCAAAAAGTTATATACTTAGGATCATTCCTAAAATTGCATTGCCAGAGTCAAGTGAACACTTATGGAGCAATTGAATGAATACTTTTATTTTCTGGAATTGAAAATGAGTTACATAATGAAGCCTACAAATAAGCAAATTACCTGAGTAGACTGGAGAAAATTAAAAATGTGCGAGATATGTAATGACTGAGAACCAAGATATGTAGGTCACATAAATCATTAATAAAAAACCTAAAGCAACACTTCTCAGGCATGGGAACCAGTTGTTTTTGCATACAAATAAAAACTGAGGACTGACCAGATTTAAGATGTTACAAAACTTTGCTCTATCTTGAAATTTCATTGTGATCATACACCCTATGTAAAATATTGAACTATTAAACATTTTTTAAACTTCCAATGGTTGAAACTCATGCTATCCCATCAAAATTAAATTCTGCTGTAAAAGTAAAAAAAAAAAAAAAAAGTAAAGCTATCCCTGTAACAGGCTGTGAAGGCCCGTAGGGTTCTGAGATGTTGAGGGTCCTAAATTTTCTAGACAATTGGCTCAAAGATGGCAGTAAGGTTGTCAGCCTTATGTGCCGGCCGTGCTTTACTCCCCAGGAAAATTATTTAATTAATTCCTGGTACTCATTTCTGTTAGAGACTATGTCGACCCCAGGGTCATAGTGCTGCTGGAAGGATTAGGTCAATTGAACAAAATATCCATTCTGCTGTAGCAAATTTCATTGTAATCATTTCCATTATGATTAAAGAAACGTTATTATGTTAGTATATTGTCATGATTGGTACAATAGGCCAGTAGTGACCACACTACCACCTGGACTCAGTCTCACTCCACTAAAAATAATGTTGTCATGATTAACATATTTACTGTTGAAAGATCTTACAGTTTTAAATGTCTGAAAGGTCATGGGAAACATTTCTTTTGCTGCCCTTTTCAAACAACAAACTAATTCAGGCTGGGAGGATCTGTGTCTTAAGTGAACTACTTCATGCACAGCATTTATGGGAGCGGATGAATGCTGCTATAGCAATGATTCTGAAGAAATATAATTCTCTTTGGCACATATATTAATGTATTTTTTTTATTGCTAGTGGGGTGGGACTAAGTCCCTTGTACTGCGGCCACTTCTGGCCTATTGTACCAGCCCCAGATGATAGGTGAGGGTGATTGTGGAGCAATTGGTGGAATGAAGATTGGCAGGGGAAACCGAAGTACTCGGAGAAAACCTGTCCCAGCGCCACTTTGTTCACCACAAATCCCACTTGACCACACCCGGGATCGAATCTGGGCCACCGCGGTGGTAAGCCAGCGACTAACCACTTGAGCTATGGTGCAGGCCCATATATTAATGTAACTTTGCTTATATATTTTCCTGGCATCTAACTTCCAGTAGAGTAGTTTTATGAGAACTGCTTACAGTAGAGTGGTTTAAATCCTTGACAACGTTCATGCAGACATACATGCAGGATATAAGATCCTGAAATTGCATTACCAGGTTCAAAGACACACTACTCTGCCCATCTGTGAATAATGAAAAGAGACTGTTTTATGTGTTTTACAAACAGGATAAGGTAGAATGTTCAGGAACCTGATAAAATTTAATTTTTATGTATTTTTATATGATGTGCATAAAGGGAAAAATTCTGTAAGAAGTCTCCAGCCACCTGTTCACTTGTTTCATCTCTGAAATTACACTACCATAAACTATGAACTGTGTGTAACCACTACTTTCCATTAAATATATATAAAAACTTCAAGAAATTTCTGAAGAATGTTTTATGATACTGATGTGGGCTCATGCTGTGAAACAATCCTAAAAACTGTTTGGGCCAGTGGTTTTCAAACAGAAAATTGCAATAGTAAGATAAGCTCCATGAACATTTTTGCTGTAGCTGTGTTCATAGACAAAAATTTGCCAATGACAGCATTCACAATAAATAATTATAATGTCATGAAATATGCAGATATTTATCCAAGCCTGAAAACTGATTTGAACTTATTCAAGCAGGAGGATAAACATTACTGTTCTTTGATCGGCAAACTCATTAATTCTATTTCGAATAAGGAAGAATTGCCTGACAAGTGGCAGGAGTCCATTATTGTACAAATTTACAAGGTCAATAAAACTGTGGTAATTATCAAGGCATATCGGTGTTATTGACTTAACACAAAATTTTATCCAATATCCTTCCCTCAAGATTAAGTCCATACATAGACGAAAATACTGCGGATCATTATTGAGAGTTTGGACATAACAGGTCAAGAAATGATCAGACTTTCTTCATTCATCAGATTCTGGAGAAAAAATGGGAGTACAATGAGAGAGTACATCAGCTATTCATAGACTTAAAAAATTCAGTTAGGAGGGAAGTATTATACACTATTCTCATCAAGTTTGAGCCACCCATTAAACTAATTAGGTCCATTAAAATGTGTTCAAATAGAACCTGCATTATACTTCATATAGGTAAACATTTGTCTAATACATTTCATATCCAAAATGGTCTAAAACAAGGAGATGCTTTATCACCATTGATAACAACCACAATATAATCTTGTTGGCTTCTGCGTACTTAACAGTGATGTGAACTAAGGTGTGTACTGTCGGCTGACTGGGATTGTGGGTTTGAACTCTACCTGGGGCATAGATGGATGAATCTTTTCCATCTTTGTTGGCCTGTGTACAGAGAAGCTGATTTCCCAATGAAGGAGTCCTACCACAGCTCTATAAAAATTCTGGAACTAAGAAAATGGGAGGCCTTGGATAAAAACTGCCTGTCATATTATATTTCTTGACAAACCAAAATGCCCAAATCTCTTACCATCAGCTTGCTTGGTACAACCTTAGCTGTCACCTCACAAATATAGATTAGAGACTGAAGTGCAGCATGCTATAAACACGAAAATGAATTTCTTAAAGTAAAAAATTAGATCTAAAAGTTTGTGACAATTGTATATTAATACAATTATTGTGCTTGTGAATATTATCCATCATCCTGTTCTTTTTACTTAAAAACACAACATTTCTGAGACTGGATTTTGTTTCTGTCATCAGGTAAAGGCTTACTCAGTTGGACCCAAATCAGACAACTAGTCCCTATCACCAGACAATAGCACTAACACAAGACAGGGTAACAAAGCACAGCATAAATCATCTTTGAGAGTTAAGATAAACATTAAGAGCTCTAATTTGAACAGCAGCCCTGATATAGTGCATGGACATAGGTGCTAGGTCTCATGTGTGGACGTTTTTAACGTCATTAATGATTGTCTTAACTCTTGCAGGCAGTTTATGCTGTTCTTGGTTTATATATCTTATCTTGTGTTGCTGCTCACCATCATGGCAATTTGTTCAAAATGTCGTCATTCAGCTCTTAAACAAATCTCCAGCCTCTTGAGAAGACTTTTACCAGATTTAGTTAACTGCCCTCAATACATGTAATCATTTCAGAAATGTGCCAAAGTTCATCCAGTGTGTGGGGGATTATGCAAATACATTTTTCTTTAATGATAATAAATACGGAACATACTTTGTTTCATAGGGTTTTCCACATGTAAAAATCACTGTGTTTTAAGTCTGGAGACCTTGTAGGCCACTGCTGTGACTATCAGTCTGTTTCCAAACACTTCATTTGAAATATTACACCTGAAAGCTCACATAAAGGACTCTGTGGTTATGATGATACCAAACATGCTTCAGCAACGTGGAATGAGGCCAAATATTGTCTGGAGATCTGTCATGCCACCAAGGGAGCCAACACTGAAATTTATTGAGAAAGCTATATACTCAGAAGAAAACTTTAACAGTTTCCTTTTGTAATGGTGTAACCCATATGTATACAATATATGTTTTCTGAGATATAATTATTTTATTCTGGATAACTTTCATCTGGACACCCTGTACATTCTTCTCTTGTAACAGCCTTCTTCTGTTTTTTGAACTTGTCTAATTTTAAATGGCAGCATACATAACTTTTTAGTGACTTTCCACATTATCATCGAAACCTGTGCCTGCTGAACTAAATGTGACAGGGATTTGCAAGGCAGATGTTCTAATCTGGTTCCACTTTCATAAAGCTTTTCCTGAGCACGGCATTCTGTTTAGTGTATTTCTTGTCAAAGAAACAACCAATTGAGTGTATTTTCTTCATTAATTCAAAAATTTCTGATAATGCTGGGATTTCAGCATCAGGATACTCATGGCAGAACTTGCTTTTACCCAATTTAAATGATGTTCAAATGTATATTTTGCCATTTCAATTCAGTACTGCAAATTAGGGCATGAAACACATGTCTGAATGTCCTCTATAAAAGCAGAAACAGGATGAAGTTTGATAAGTTTTACAGCGAGTCATTTGCAGTTGCAGTCATGCCATGAATGACAAACAGTAACAAGAGATCATGAAAAGTTAAACAGTTCCGTCCAGTGTGACTGGTGAAAATTTCTTTATTTTAATTATTATGCCCTTACATGTTTTGGTCTTCAGAGACCATCATCAGAGGGCCACCTTTACATCAAAACAGTTGGAGGCTACTGTTACAATATATGTTCTGAAAGTTAAAATTTATACATATAAAATAATATACAATTGGGTATAAACTCTAAAGTCTTTACAACTACAGCGGCTGTTCCAATATTTTAAAATATTTATAATTGGTTTGTTAAGACTCTATTTGAATTAAAAAACCAAGCAGGTTCGTGTCATCCCTCTTACTATTTCTCTTGATGGGGACAACACGAACCTGCTTGGTTTACGAATTCACATAGTCTTAATAAGCAAATTATAAATATTTTAAAATACTGGAACAGCCGCTGTAGTTGTAAAGACTTTAGATTTTATACCCAACTGTATATTATTTTATATGTATACATTTGCCTTTCATAACATATATTGTAACAGTAGCCTCCAACTGTATTGATGTAAAGGTGGCCCTATGATGATGGTCTCTGAAGACCAAAACATGTAAGGGCATAAATAATTGAAATAAAGAAATTTTCACCAGTCACACTGGATGGAACTACTCAACTTTTCATGATATTGTTAGTGTGACGGACCAGAATGAAAAAAAAAAAAATGTATCAAGAGATATAGCGTATCCCATGGTCTCTCCCCATCCGTGTACTACATACAGCACCTTCAGCTACTGACAACATATTCTTCTCACAGCTGTGGGAGCCCAATTTGATCATTCGGGAAATACAATGTTGTAGTAGTTTCCTAACGAAAATGGTGTAGTTTATGCAAAAATATTTCTTTTGTTACCATCTGATTCAACAAATTGTGCTGAAAGCTCTGGCTGATAATGAATATGAATTTATGAAGATAATGATAACCTCAATCTTACACAATGATAATGAAATTTGTCAATAAAGTGTTATAAGTTTTAGGGTTAACCAAGTCACTTTTTTCCTCCCCCCTTTCCTGTGGTGCTATTGGTTCTCTCTGAGCCCCCTTATGGACAGTAGTCACACTACCATCGGTGCTTCCATGTATCACTTTTAACCTCTTTCACGACTGGTTTCCTCCATGCCGTTAGTCTTCTTGTTTGGCTTACACTTTACCCCTGAAGATGAAGGAAACATGTTTCTCCAGAACGTTGGTACACTTACAGACATGGTGTTACAATCTTCTACTACTAACTACCTCCTACACAGAAGTACTATTTTTCATAGTCACTGCTGTGAGAACTTTAAATCAAATTTATGATCCAGTAACTTTCTAAAGCAGACAGTGATCCATGTCTCTGACGATGGATGGCACACGATTAGAGGTTTTAGACACACTATATTGAAGAACAGTATTTCAGATATTGGATACACAGGAGACAAATATGTATAGGAATGCAATGTTATGAAATAAACAAAACCGGAGTGTCTCATATTCAATAATACTGTTTTACAGTAAAACAGGAACACTTTTACAGAGTGTATCTCATGCATGAAATTCTGTAAATTTGGTATGTCAGCACTACTGCACGATAATCTTGGAATGACAAATTTTCACCTAACAATTGTGCAGTGGTTCATAATTTTTATGGTTACTACTAGAGGTTTTAAGCATAGAGAATTAATGTCTTATTTTATACATGTCTCTAACATCTTGTCAAAATTTACCACTTAACGGCTGCCTGAATATCTTCACGTTTGTGTGTTCCATCACAGAATGGCCGATTAGAAGTCTGTTTACAATTACATAACCAATATTCTTTGTCCTCTGTCACCGTAAATTTTATTGGACGAAACTTTATGTTCAAATATGGATTTCTGTGAGTCCCATCACATAAGGGCTGAAACAATGAAGAAGAAATACAGCATTAGCAGCACACATGAGCACTGAATACTCAATATAGTGACTGACTCTTTGGTTATTTAAAGACAACTCTTCATGTGCAAATGTATACACAGTCAAATAAGATTGGAAATTGCCATTGTCTGTTTTAAGACAGCATCTCAGGGTGCCTGGAAGGACTGAGGAAAAGCAATATGTCTCAATCAGATCAGTAATTCTTTGAGCAATGATTCAAATTCAGGGCCTCTCAGAGATATGAAATAGGAGTTCTAATCACTACACTATGACATTTGCTAATATGACCATTTGTTAGGCAACGGTTCAGTAAACACAGATTCCCACCGCAACAGATACAATGGTGAAGGTCAAAGCATTGCCACGGATTGACAAAGGTTTCTGTGGCAAATTAATATTGATAAAGACACAGATACCCATGGCACAGAATAACAGACAAACTGTTTGAGGTGGTGACCTACATATATTTGGGCTGCCTGGAAGCTACAGAAGAGTTGTAATTCAGTCGTAAGAGAGTTGAATGCGTGAGCAGTGATTTGTTGTTTATCATTTGTCACAGTAGAAAACACTCATAGTCCAGTAAGGAATGGAGCAAGTCATTGACTGTGAGCTGTCAAAATGAATTGTGAATGTATAGAAGTGCCAATAAATCCAGTCACCGAACCCATTATTATCAGTCAAGCAAACCCCAAATACGTGACAATATTAATGTAGATGAAAGATACCGTTACACAAACACTCACTGCTAGGCAACGTGTTGGTAAACAAGTTCCTACAGAGACAGATTCTAGGTGAACAGTCTGCTGCTGGGTTACAAAAAAACAAAGTAAGCTGTGTTTTCTGTGTCTGCGGTGACATCACAACAGTGGATAGTGATCATGTGACATGTGTTCCCTGTGATGCGTGTCCGCTCCTCAGCTATATAAGTAAAGCAGTTACAAGTTACGAATAACAGCGACAGAAGCACACGAACAAGCAAGGAGATAACCACGTGAAGTGCGTAGTTGAAGAAGAACTAGAAGTCGGCCTGTGAAGGCTTAACATGTGATTATAAGGCTTTATTAATGTGTAATGTTTGGAGTGTGTGATTCAGTGAGACTGTTATAGTTCCCATGTTATAAACCCATGAAGACTATTGGAGATAGACTGAAGAGCTTAGTGTGGCGTGATTGTACATTGTGTAAAGCAGCAATAGTGTAATAATTAATTGTAGTTATGGCTTGTGAGTATCCAATAAATCCAATTACCAATCCAAACCCACATCTTAGTCACTGTGACATGTGACAGTATATTATGGTAGCATACTATGGGTCAAGTAAAAAATGGCACAGACAATGTAGTGCATATTTTTAAAATTATGTTTACATTTTCTGACAGAAAACATAATCAAGACTGCAGTACAGAGGTAGTCAAAACATATTTCATTGGAATATACCTGCCTTTTGTAAAATGCATGGACAGAGAGTTAGAAGGTCAAAGTAAAATAAAATTTAGTATATTTATGATGGCGAACCGATGATCTATACAGGTCTCCTAGATCTGTTTGGTTGGTGAAATCCAGGCTAAGTTGGGCTAGGAATGGGGGGAGACCAAGCAATTATACAAAATTTTGGTGCTAGGACCTCTTGGAAATGACTAAATGAATGGCTGAGAATGAGAGAAGAGGATGACATTAAGCTGAATTTATAATAAATGTTATGAGAATGGCTCTTGCCCACGATTGTGTCCATGGCAGGTTTTGGAATGGGCAGTTAGGAACATTAAATTCTATGGCCAGACAGCATGTCCAGTACCTGGGTTTTGCTCTGACCACAGAGGCACCAGAAATATGCCTTTCCTTTCTGACACTTCATTCTGAATGGCTTCTTGTCATAAATTTTGCCATTTTCTGGTTGAAGAGATGCAGTATATATAGATTTCCATGGATTCTGAGGAATCTCTGGTTCATCTGTACGGGTCTGCTTTACGTTTCCTGCCACCTAGAAAAAAAATAGTTGAAAATTATTAAGAGAGACCAGTGTGAAAAACAGAACTAGAATGATCATGGTATGTCCTTACAGCACACAACCACCTTGTGCTGAAATTAAGAATGTGTGGAACTTACATGTATGTGTAAAACTCAGTTTTCTTCATGGCACAGTGCTTTAAACATAGAGCCAACCAGGGCTGTGATATACTGGGTTTTCGGACTTTATCCATCGTCCTGGTTTTTAAGATAACAGGATCCAGTGATTGAGGCTAGCTCTTTCTAACGGACCCAACAGAATAGGTGTTTTCTTTCACCTGAGGACGGAAACAGATCCAGTTTCCGAAACGTCATATTTTTATTAGTTATCTTAAAAACCAGGACGATGGATAAAGTCTGAAAACCCAATATCTCAGTGTGTTATACACCATCGTCAGAATCCTATAGTAACAACCAGGGCTGTGTCAAACCAACTGCCTCAGGTGCCATTTTACAAAAGCTAGATGAAGCCAACTCAAGAAACAGAGTGGACCCTCAATATAACATGGGTTTCGGGGGACAGCTTCAGTACCCACGTCATGTATGAACTTGAAGTCTAATTTTGTAATCTGATATTATTTATATTTATCCAGTGCCTATATATATGAAGCTTATGTTTCATCACTGTTACTGACCACTAAATTACATTTATGCCTCCTTATGCAAACAGACACATAAAGTAGTTTGTCAGAACTGATGACTGTGTTACTTCAGAATATACTGTTTAATGTTAAACCAGATGCAGTCAATGCTGGTACTCACTATCACTCTATTCTTCTAAAAAGTTGTTTCATTAATAACTTCTAGCACTTTGCTCAATTTTGTTACATATCTCAGAAGTGCACTATGGGCTTCACCCTTCAGCCCACATCCTACAGCAAGTTTTAATGCAACAGTCTTCTACTGTAACCATCCTGTTTCACAAAACTTGTAAGACATAAAAGATATGTCATCACATTGGGAGATATGATCACCAATGTGGTACCTCCAAATCTGCCATATGATGACACAGTATATCCAAATCCACTGCATGATGACATGCGGTATATCAAGGTTCCACTGTATTATAACTAAATTTAAATACAAAAACAACATTTTTAAAAATTACAGACATACAGGGAGGATTTTTACTTTGACTGGTTCCATGGCTGTGTGCTTCATGGCAGCTTGTGCGTCACTTCCTGCAAGGGGCATATGAATTTTGCTGATGAATCAGCATGCCTGATGGCTGATAACATTTGGAGTGAAGGGAAGTACTTACCTTGGTTCACAGATCACAGGTGTTGAGAATGCTGTCCCCCTACACGCAGATATTCCTAACACTGGCAGAAGAGATTTTGATTTACCCTTTGAAGCTGGTCTGCAGGAATATTTGCAATTTCCCTACAAATATTTTCTTATAGTTTTTCCGTTCAGGGGTTACTGTTGTAAACTTTATCCTTCAAATAACGCCAGAAGAAAAAATTACAAGGATTAAGAACTGGTGAATGTGCTGGCCAAATACTACTGCTAATATTTCTGTTCCTGGAGATGTCAGACAAAGCCTGCATAGATATATGTGCAGTGTGGGCAATAGCGGAGTCTTGATGAAAGCAGCCACGCAGCACCAGTAACCTACCCAAATAAAAGGGCTTCCATTTTCATAGGACCAAGTCTTAGAACTGGACGAATAAAAAAGGAGAGACTGAATAATCTTGAAGGCATATTGCCATTCTCCAGAAAAGTAAAATGGCCAAGAAAAGAAGCAAGCTTATATAGACAATTTAACAGAAATGTTATTTTCCAAACCATGTAGGGGTTTTATATTAGCTCGAAGACTCTGTCAAACATCAGTAAGATACTTCCATTGATCAAGGAGAAAACAGATTTCTCCTGGCAGAAAGATGTTTAGGAATACAACAATAGATAACAGTAAGGCTAAGTACTTGTAAAGAGACAAAATATTATAGACTGAAGGTGTCAGCATTTGAAGAAATCATGACGCTAGGGTAAAAGACAAGTAGGGCCATTAGGCTAATTGCTGTCCATACTAGTTCAAAGGAAGGATTTTTACCTGGGGGACAGTTAGTTTTCAAACCAGGTAGTGTGAATGGAGATTACCTTGGGCAAATGAATGATGAAAATTTCTCTCGAAGGATCCTAAGGTCATGCCTATTTGCCCCCTTCAAATGCCATCATTATACACGATGCAACTCACAACAGCGATGAGCACAACAAAGTCCCAGTGCGACAAGTACCAACGAACAGGCAATGGTAAACTGGTTATGACCGAATGGGTTTTCTGCTGAAATGACCATGAGAATCACCATATTGTTTGATAATACTGGGTTGCAATAACCCAGGGAGAAAGTTTACAAGACTGACTGACTATTCAAGGCCAATGCAGTCAGAATACTTCCCTATATGTGATCTTAATCTCAGTACACATGCCCAAAATCAAAAGATTATGTAAGACAAGAAATGTCTTGGGAGACATCAGTAATGAAAGTCTTCAAGAAATTGTCTTAGAAATATTAAACTCAATCATGGTGGCAAATTGGCAAGGTTACAAGGGCCATACATAAAAATTAGAATGAGAATGCTGGGAGAAGGATGGCTGTATGAAGAATGCAATAGAATATTTTTCTATCAACTTAGAAAACAGTGACAAGGATGCGAACAGACAAGGAAGACACTAAGTTGGTTCACGAACACTGTAACAGCCATGTGTCTGACCTATCAATTTGCTGGTAAGCATGTTAAAATTTTTTACTTTTGTTAAGTATTTAATTTTTATGAAGATTTTCAAATAAATTATGTACTTTTAATCATAATTATGATTAAATTAACATATGCATGAGAAAACAAGAGTGGGAGTGCTGGAGGAAGTGTAGACCTGTCAGTCACTGTTATTAGGATGGAACACACTCATTATTATGGTCCAAGGAGTGCGGAATCTTCAGCCTGGCCTTCCTTAATCCTGCTGGACTATACAGCTCATTGTATTTCACACAAAAGTGGAATCTAATAGATGTCACTGGCTACTGTGGTTGCTGCAAAACAGTACGAATCTGATGGTAAATATGTAGTGTGAGAACATTTCTGATGTCTTCTAGGAATCAGATTCAACTGCTGTAGGTTTAAGATAATTAATTTTGAAAGAATTAGATGAACTAGGGCTGTTATTTTAAGATGTGAGAGGGGTAATGGGGCCCAGTATTTGCATGTTTGCAAGAGGATTCTGATCAAACATCCATGTATTCACAGTCCCCTCTATAATGCAACAATTGTTTTATTCACCATCTAACACACAACACATGTTTCGGCATCCAACTGTTACACTGTTATGAAGTAGGCTAACATCGTGTGTTGCAGTCCACTTAAAATAACATACATAATTACTTAATTATGTTATTTTAAGTGGACTGCAACATGCGATGTTTGCGCACTTCAGAACAGTGTAACAGTTGGATGCCGAAACGGGTTGAGCGTTAAATGGTGAATAAAACAATTGTTACGTAATAGATGGACTGTGAATACGCAGACATTTGGTTAAACATTTGCAATAAGATGCTGAAATACAGAATTAGGATTCTAATGATAAAACTCACGGCTTTCTTTCTTCCCTGTTCATACCATTGTTTATTTTTTTACTGGTGACAATTGTAAAAAGACAAAGTGGTCATATGGTTCTGCGGGATTTATTTTACAAATTATACTTATATGATATTTAAACAAAATACCACCATCCATGTTTTATTAACAAACTTCACGGAACAGAATAGTCCTTTACATGCGAACTGATTCTAATGAAAACAGTTCCTCCGTTTTAGGGAACCAGAAGGTTCATTACCGTATTCACTACAGCTCGCTGTTGGTGCCTATCCACAGACAGAAAAATTCAGACCACACATTCATTTCCGCTGCTTATGGTCGTTCCATACCATCCGTCCGAGTAACATCCTATATTTACGCTGAAGAGATCCGCGACTGCTTACTCAATATAATCGCTGCTACACTCCATATCTGGAAGCCTTAGTCAACCGCAACCTTCGGTAGCGTCCAGCTGATTAATGGACCAACACAACAGTCAACATGTAAACAAAATGATCAGATGTCTCGTACAAGAAACCGCTTCGTCCAATTAAAACATCACAATTACAAGTTCTATATCATACCTCCGTCTTCTTTTTCACAGGAATTTCACTCGGGCGCTGGCTAGAATAGAATCGATTTCCTCTTACCAATATGTTACCTAATAGTAATCTGATCGAGCGCATTTTATAACCGAAATTATATATTATTGCTGAAATAACAAAACCCCGAACACAAAATCATTACCAATCATGACCATGAACACCAACAAGACCGGAAAACAGCTGCTGAAATTAAATTGGCGCAATCTGCCGAACAAATTGAGAAGTGTGAAACGGAAGTGTGTGTGTGCATGCGCTCGTGCGTGCGTGCGCGTGAGCGCGCGATTGGAAGTTCTCTTTGTTTACGAATATTGGTTTTGTATTTCGGATGTGAACATTTGTTAATTATTCAAATTCTCTATATTTTCTGACTATTATATGTTTCATACGAATGTCTTCATGTCATTAATTGGTCTAATTTTACCATTCTAAGCTAAAGTGTATTCCCAAGTATGTTACTGTATTATGCTCATTTGCAGAATGTGATGTATGTATCCAATTAGAATGGTAATATTAATACTGTACTATAATCTTACTAACTTTTAAAAAGTAAAAAGTAAAGCAAAGCTATTCCTGCATCAGGCTGTGAAGGCCCATATGGTTGTGAGACATTGAGGGTCCCACATTATCTAGATAATCGTCTCAAAGATGTTGGTAAGGTTGTCAGCCTTACGCGCCAGCTGCACTTTACTCCCCAGGAAAATTACTTAATTAATTCCTGGTACTCATTTCTGTTAGAGGCTGAGTCGACCCCAGGGCCATAGTGCGGCTGAAAAAATCCAATGACCTCATCGGAACTTGAACCTGCAACTGTCCGGCTTGTAGCATAGCCCCTCAACCAACTACACTACTGCGTGTCCCCTCTTTTTAACTTTTAAGCAAAATTATTATTGTACACATATTATGTATTTGTACTTGACTTGTTCTATATCCTATGGTTTCAACCTGCACTTTGATTTATCGAATAAATCTGAACTCTGAACAACATAAGACGTGAAGCCAACAGGCATTTCAGGAATAAAAAAAAAAGGGAATATCTAAAAAGACAAAATTAATGAGCTTCCAATGAACAGTAAGAACAAGAACATTAGAGACCTGTATAGAGGAATAAACGGATTTAAGAGGGGTTATCATCCTAGAAGTAATTTATTGAAGGATGAGAATGGTGATCTGCTTGCAGATTCCCACAATATTTCGAATAGGTGGAAGAACTACTCTCAGCTATTGAGTGTACATGGAGTCAGACTACCTGATGCTAGTCCTTCTGAGGCTGAAATTGCTATTGCAAAGTTGAAAAGGTATAAATTGCCAGATAGTGATCAAATTCCAGCAGAACTGATTCAAGCAGGAGGTGAAACATTATGGGTCTGAGATCCACAAGCTCATTAATTCTATTTCGAATAAGGAAGAAATCGGTGGAAGGAGTCTATTATCATAGCATTTCACAAGAAGAGCAATAAAACACTGCAGTAATTATCATAGGATATCACTGCTATCAACTTCATACAAATTTTTATCCAGTATCCTTTTCTCAAGGTTAAGTCTGTATGTAGATGAAATTATTGGGGATCATCAGTGTGGGTTTCATCATAACAGATCAACTCCTGATTACATTTTTTGCATTTGCCAGACACTGGAGAAAAAAATGGGAGTACAATGAACCAGTACATCAACTATTTGTAGACTTCAAGAAAGTCTGTGATTCAGTAAGGAAGGAAGTATTGTACAATGTTCTCATAGAGTTCGGGGTACCCATGGCACTAGTTATACTAATTAAAATGTGTTTAAACGAAATGTATAGCAAAGTCTGTACAGGTAAATATTTGTCTAATAATTCTCCTATCCAAAATTGTCTAAAACTAGGAGATGCTCCAACACCACTGCTTTTAAACTTTGCTTTACAATATGTCATTAGGAAGGTCCAGGAAAAGCATGTGGGACTGAAATTAAATGGGACACATCAGCTGCTGGTCTGTGCTGATGATGTGAATCTCTTGGGAGATAACACAGATACCATAAAGACAAACACAGATACTTTAAATAACATTATTACAGAGACTGATCTAAAAGTAAACTCATAGAAAACTAAGCACATGTTGTCATCTAATCACCAGAATGCGGGACAAAATCATGACTTGAAGTTAGCTAACAGATCCTTTGAAAATGTGGCACAGTTCAAATATTCTGGATTGACAGTAAAAAATCAAAATTTGTTCAGGAGGAAATTAAGAGGAGACTGAATTTGAGCGATGCTTGCTACCATTCAGTTAAGAACATTTTGTGTTTTCTTCTGCTGTCTATAAATGTAAAAATTAGAATACACACAAATATAATTTTGCCTGTGGTTTTGTATGGGTGTGAAACTTGGCCTCTCATATCAAGTGAGGAACACAGACTGAAGATATCCGAGAACAGAGTGTTGAGGAGACTATTATGATTGAAGAGGGATGAAATGGTAGGAGGTTGGAGAAAAATGCATAATGAGGAGCTTCATAACTTGTACTCTTTGCCAAATATAATTAGAATGGTCAAGTCAAGGAGGATGAGCTCAGCAGGGCATGTAACATGCATGGGGGAGAAGAGGAATGCATATAGGGTGTTGATGGGAAAGCCTAAAATACAACTATGAAAACCTAGACATAGGCTAGAGCATAATATTAAGATGGATCTTAGAGAAATAGGATGGGTGATATTGACTGGATTCAGTGCCCTCACATCAGAAACGAATTCAATTGACCAGGTGGGCAGAGGCCAGAAAGGTCAACAAAGGTCAAAATATAATTGGGGGCACCAGACATACAAAATCAGTCAGGACAGCCATAAGTGTGGAGTAAATCTTCACATGTAAATTTGAGGGGCAGGGGGATGTTTTCTATCTGGGTTACTTTATGATGCTCTCAGTAGCAAGATTATAATAATAGTTTTCTATCTGGGTTACTTTACAATGCTCTCAGTAGCAAGATTATAATAATAGTTTTCTATCTGGGTTACTTTACAATGCTCTCAGTAGCAAGATTATAATAATAGTTTTCTATCTGGGTTACTTTATGATGCACTCAGTAGCAAGAGTATAGTAACAGTGTGAAATAGTAGGATGGTAAAGACAAAGTTTAATTATTTAGTGGATTGGTTAATGACATGGTCAGTAATAAGACGATATAGGATCAGATGGTATAACTGATGAATTGGAAAAAATGTGGTAGGAAGTGTTCATGGCCTAATCAAAGTAATATCCTGAAATTTGCCTGGAAGGATTCAGAAAAACCTTGAAAAAATTCAATCAGACTAGCCAGTGTCCTGACCAAGATTCAAACTGAACACATTCTGAATATGAGTCTGGAGCATTAGATAACCTCTTCAGCAGAAAAGTTGTACAGAGTGTAAGAACTTCATCTCACTTTCATTCATGTTTTATTAATTACTGCCACGTAAACATATATAAGTAAAAGGATGAAAATATTCACAAAAAATTAACATTTGAAAATATATCTACAATTTTTACAGTATTTCCTATTTAATATTTGTATATACACAGTATTTAAATTGACAGCTTTTATTTGTAATATCTTAAAGGCAACTTTATGTTCATCACATTGCTTAAATGAATGTTTGTTTGTACTTACGTTGGTGATCGAAATGCACTGTTTAAGGGTCAGCAGGAGTGGTATTCCTCATCTGTGGAAACAGATCACCTACAACTTTCTCAAGATCGAGAGATTTCCCAGCAGCCAAGTCTACATTACTGTTCAAGTTTGTCAGTGTAGACTGCTGCTTGGGTTTGAGCAACGATCGAGTAGGAGCGGAAGGAGAAGCTATGGATGTAGTAACTGTAATAGCTGAGTTCGTAGCTAGCTCAAGAGAACTGAACTGATGGGCACGTCGCATATGTGTTTTCAGATTGCCCTTTTGTGTAAAAGAATAGTGACAGTAGGGACAAGGGAAAGGACGTTCCCCGGTATGACTTTTCACATGTGTGTTGAGTGCATTCTTTTGGTTGAATGTCTTGGCACAGAGGGGACAGGTAAACGGACGCTCTCCAGTGTGTATACGAGTGTGACGCTCCAACTGACTGGGCTTTGAAAAGTGTTTTCCACATGTAGCACAATCATGAAACAATAAGTAGTCTTCTGTAGTATTTCCGCCTTCCTTATCTTTGTGTCCATCAGGCATATGGTTTCCCATTGACACAGCCACAAGAGTGCGTCCTTCTTTTCTACTGTCTGTAACACGGAAGCGAGATGCCTGAGACTGTTGATCACCTTCCACTACTTCCATATCCAAGTCACCTGTCAGGTCAAATGTTATATCTCCTGTAAAATTCAAAACATGACTATTATTACATCTTTTTATGGGGACTTTGTACAGTTACATTATCTCTGAAATTATGAAATGGATTCAAATTAAATTTGATATGATGACTTGAAAGGATTCTGAGTTGAGCAGAAGAGCTTAGCACACACATTCAAAGCCATTCTAAAATGCAACTGGAAAACAGTGGCTGAATCCAAATTTTAGCTAATGAGAGATGTCTACAATGTGCCAACAACAAAACCTCTTTTGAGTCCGGCAGCTCATTCCATTGAGTGCTATGTGGCTTGGCTACTAAATGGGAGATAGGACTTCTTCTGTGACTGAGCTGTGCATTAAGCCATAAGTACTGAACTCAAAGATGATGAAAGTACTTAAATGTGAATATAATACCTGAAGTAATACACCTTTGTGAAGCCACCGCTTATTAAAGAGTAAAACGGGATGATAATATGACTGATTTCTGACAGTGGTCATCATTTTGAAGAATAAAAACAAAATACAATCAGCTATTCTGTGTGATGGAAGATCAGCGACATAGAAACATAGAGTGCAACGAATGAAGTTTTGAGATCCAAGCCCTGTGAGTGATTTTGCCAGGAGACTGGCTGTCATATGAGTTGATGGGCCAATGGTCAAGGCAAAAGACAAAAATTCTGTGTCATTTTTAAAGACCAAGAACCTTCAGAATTCTGAAGAGTGTCTTTACCTTTCCAAAGCACAGAAAGGCATGAATATACTTAGAGTGTCAGGCGTAATGTCTTCATTTTGAATCAGCACATAATGTAGGATATGTATATATATTAAGAGTTTCTCTTAACTAATTTGTATACTGAGGGTGTGAACCAAATAGTGGTTGGGACTGTTGCTTGTAAAGGAAGACTCCTAATAAGTGGTCGATTATAAGTGCAAAATGTTATGTAAGTCTGAGAAAATCTTTAACTTGTTGGTTCAGATAGTGCTAAAAATGTTGAATATATTGAATTATTCGTTATCTTCACATCTCCATGGTAACCATTCAATAAGGAATACACATTATCCATTCGTGTTAATTCTTTTAAACGTTAATGCCATATTGTGATATATATAATTATAAGTTAGGAGACAGTTTTGAAGATTATTTTTTCAACTATGAAAAATGCGAGGTTTTTACTGGTTCATGTACATAACACTGAGGCTTACCATTTCTTGAAGGAATTTCGTGTAACAGGGCTGGTTGAATATTGATAATCTGTCCGTGCTCATCTGTGTGGATTTCAAAGCGCACAGTTGCCATTTCAGCATCAGCATCAGCATCTACTGTGGCTTGTTGCTGCTGTCGATCTTCAACTGTGTTGCCCTCTCTTACATGAGTCTGCATCTGGTCATTACTTTCTGTAGTCTGGATAATTATGTTTGAGGCCTGCACCTCACAAGAAGGAGAGCAAAAAGTCTTAATTACAAAGGATAAACATATTTATCTTTATTGCTTGCATCCTGCTGTGTATTATATATAGTATTATTATACAACTGTCAACACAAATTCATAATAAGTAACCAATATTACTGTACTATCATTTGTTTTCGTATGTACATTTGTTAAATGTTTCAACCCAGTTGGATCGTCACCAGGCATTTCTTCATGAAATGTACTCTTCATAATTGAATTGTATTTCTGCGTATTCTCAAACGTTATTTTATCAACTTTATAGACTGTATTGTCTTGCGTGTGTAAAATCTAAGAATGTGACTGTTTACACAACAAATAAAGAATCGCACCTTTAAGGCCTGTTATAAGGAACATCTACAGGCAATAAAAACTAATAAACATAATTCAGGATTTGCACAACATATATTGGATACTGGGCATACATATGACTCAGTCAACCAAACCATGGAAGTTCTGCATACAGAGAAGAAGTGGCAAAAATTAAACACCCTGGAAAGATTTCACATCTATAATTTGACTAAGAAGGCATTACAAATGAATGATATGCCTACTGAAACATATAACCCTATATTTGACATTTCAATACCATACATTGCATGACCACAGTACAGAGTATACTCAGATTGTGCCTTGCGGTTACCAGCATAATATCATGTCAATGGCAGAAACCATTCAGGGTCGTATTAATAAAATAAAAAATTCATATAAGTCCCAATGCTCACTCAGGGCAACACATAATTCATAATATGGCTAACTTTGGTTTCCTGCTCCAGTTGCGGGCAATTCTTAATTTATCCAAAAATACTACTGCAATAAAAGGTGAAATACGAACACACCAGTTATTTGCAGTAGGTAAATATCCTCCTCCCACACAATTTTATTAATTGCTCTATCATCTCTTTTGATGTCAAATCTCAAACTCAGTCTTGCACACAGTCCAAACACTAAATCCACATAATCTCAACTAATTTTTAACTAATACAACATCACTTAATTTCAGAATAGCCATAGAGGGCCAACAAGAAGACCTCAACCGATATTTCAGCGCACCATCACCCCGAAGCACTGAAGAACACCAACTGACAGCAGTGATTACATAAGATGATCTCATCCAAATTGCTATATAGCATACACCATAATAGGAGAAAGCTGTATCATCTTAAAAGTTTTAACTATTTACAATCATATACACTTGTCTAGATAACTTGTCTATAGTTTTAAAAACTTTTTCTCTTTATATAGGTTTTAACAGAATGACAAAACCTATTGTTATCTATCAAGACAGCCAATAATATCATACAATATGGATCCATATTGAGATAACCAATTTAACAAGCAGCTTGGTTTATAGTTCTTATGGGATGCCTGACGGATGACCTATACATAGACTGAAACACGTAGTACAAGTTCTATGCATATAATAAACAAATGAGGTATAGATTGATATATGCTTGTCTTCACTTGAATACAATCTTTTATTTGTTGTGTCGAAGGTCACATTCTTAGATGTTATTTTATCACCTTAATATATGCAATGAATTAAGTGAAACAGATCAATGCAGATTCAAAATGTTGATTACAAATTTATTTTTATTATAATGTAATTCGCATTAAAACTTCCTCAAGAGCCAGTAAAGTTACTGGTTAAGGGCTAACTGGCTGTGATTCAGCCCAGCTTTTTGCCTATGAGAGAAAAGCAGTATGTAGTTGAACAGTCACATCTACTGCAGAGGTCCAGAACGTATGGAGAATTACTTCTGTGTCCCCTACTGAAACTCACTTCTGACTCAATGAAACAATTATAAAAGTATAGATGATGTTGACTGTAGTATCAGTTTCTTTTATTATTTATAATACAAAAACCTGATTACTGAATAAGTGAGAATATGGATAATTTGTAATGTGGTAGAATGCAGGGAGAACTTCTTGTTTATATTGAACTTTAGAACTAGATATGATTTAATAGTCTTAATGTCTTGGCTGATATTAATTTGGTCATCCAAATAGAAAAAGAAGGTACTGTTGTGGATCTTTGAATTGTTTTAGTAATGTATAACAACACAGGACTTGTTCTTTGGTAGATGTATATTTAAAATTTTTAACCTGGATCATTATAATATTTGAGAGCTAGGCTAATTGGGAAGACATCTGAAGTGTACAGGCAATATGAACCAAATTTCTGTTTAGTAAATAAACTGATAAATAACATTGGAATTTTACAAATAAAAACATCTTTTCAGTTATATGTAATTCAGAATTTCTCACTTTTATGGTTGATGTGCTGGGGCAATGAAATAAGACAAGAGCAGTTATCTCCTATGGCAGAAGAGTGAAATGAGAAATAACAAAAATCTTTGTTTTTTATTGTTTGTTAATTAACATACCTGAAATTGCTGGAGAAGAGCCTCATCCAGCTGGACAGCCTGTGTTGTATAAGAATGGAGCATTCCAGATGGATCTACTCCTGCTATTTGCAAACCATCAGTCAGCTGCAACTGAAAGTTGCCCATAATGTGACTTCCATCAGCAGCTGTTGTCAGCAGTGAGGAATTGAATGGTTCTCCTGGTATCAGGCTACTTAGTGTTGCAGGATCCAGTGTTATGTGTGTCATAGTTTCAGTCACTAGCTCTGATGTGGTGCTGGTTGCTGGGTTCTGCAGCTCTGATTCATGTTCTTGCTCTGGTTGTTGCTGTTCGGCAACTTGTTTGTTTCGACGTGCAGATGTTGTAAGTTGAGATGAAAGTTTCCCACCACCACTAGCTGCGTGCTTCATATGAGACATAAGGTGAGCTTTACGGTGACCAGATGTACGAAATCTCATCTCACAGAGTGGGCATTTGAAAGGTTTGGCACCTACACCATGCAGAAAAGAAAAGGTTATAGATTTTGGAATCTTTCAGTTCAAAATCTTTTATCTTTTTGTTTTCCTCTCATAAAATGAAAGATTCAAATATAAAACCCATAATTATATTTATTGAACTTGCACATAGTTGCATCATTGACTGCATCCCTCTCAACAAGTTTTCAATTAATGAATATTTATGAAATTCTTTTATCAACTTCATCCACTAGAAGCCATTCCAAGTTTACAGTTTTTAATTTTATACCATCAATAATACCAACATAACAATTGGTATGCAAACTTCTCAGGCTAGAATTAAACTAGTGCCACTTCATGTAATGGCCTGGAACTTTATATGGTAATGGATTTCCAAAAGGAAGTCACCTCTGTTTAACCATTATATTTCTGTCTAGGATCATGCCACAGATCAAGTGATTAGAAACTCGCTTCTCATAGCATAAGCCCCAAGCCCAATCCCAGGGTAGTCCATGTGTGATTTGTAGTAGTCAGGTTAGTAATCGGGGATGTTCTCTCCAAGTTATTTGATTTTCTTCTGTGAATCATCACCCCCTGAATGCTCCATATGCATCTTCCACTGTCCCTGAGGAGTGCAACAGACCAAAATAGATGGAATCTTGCCAGTCTGAACCTCAGTTGGGGCTTTATCTCTGAGCCAGTAAAAGGTAATGATAATGTCCCCATGTTTAATTAATTAAGCAAGCAGACATGCCATGAGGCCATATGGGGGAGTGGAGGTATATGGCTTCACCATTCTTGACCTCAGCACTAGATGGAGGTAAGTGGTCAGCTTCATACTCTGGCCACTTTACCCCCTGGGGAAATTGCCCCCGATACCCATAGGAGGCTGGGTGGGTCCCAAAGCCCATAAGGACATTGTGGAGAAGAGAAAAATCTTACTCCTGCCAGGATTTGAACCTTGGTCATCCAGCCTGTAGCCTGTTGGTATACTGATTGATCTATCCTGACTCCTCTACTTATCACAACTCAGAGGAAAGAAGATTTCTTTAACTTCTATATCTACACCTACAAATTGTTATGCAAGTTTTTGAGCATTTCCAACCAATATATTGCATGAATGTTTTGTTATAATTATCAGAATAATGTCTTATCCATTCTAACTTCCTCTGCTTAATTACCCTAATAATATCAGTTGAAGAGTACAAGTTATGAAACTGATTAATTCTGTGGTTTAGAAGCTGAATGTTTAATGCCATTAGTACAAAAGCCCACAACTGGGGATGATAATAAGCCAGTTAAATCCACCTCCCACCCTCATAACCTAATGCACTTACATCCATCTAAATATAATCTTCCCATTTCCTTTTCAGTCTTCCAGAAAGGCATTCTTGAAGTAGTTTCATTGCCAAAATGATTTAATTTGACAGTTTTTCACCATGATGGTCAAAAACTGTTGAAAGAACTCTATGTGTATGGCTGCCTATTGCAAACAGAGCATCAAGTTTTGCAGCATTCAAAACATTTTTTATAACACAGAACTTTCTTACAGTGATGGGCCTTATAGAAAAATGGAACATTTGACAACTACCCCTTGTTGGTTGTAGGTGACAGTATATTCCAACACATCTGAAGGTGCATGGATTTTCTTGATAAGTCAATGGTGCCTCATTACACAGTTAAATTACCAACAATACTTTAGAAGGACAAACCTGTGTGCAGACGCATGTGAACCTTGAGGCTTCCTTTAGTCGAGAAAAGGCAACCACAAACATGGCAGGCAAAAAGCTTCTGTCCACCATGTGTTTTAAGGTGACTGTCTAATGTTGACTTGACAGTGAAGCATTTATTACAGCAGGCACACTGGTATGGCCGCTCTCCTGTGTGGATTCGAATATGACGCACTAGATCTGATGGCTTTCGGAAACTCTTAGGGCAATATTTGCATTGGTTTGGATGAATTGGTTCCATATTGTACTGTTGATCAGGATCCTAAGAAGAAAAAAATGATATCTTAATAGTTAACATACTTAATAATTAATATTATTATGTGTTAATAACAGGCCTTCTTTCTTCTCAATTTTCTGATTTAGTTTTTTTCATGGTCAATTTTAGGCATATTTAATAATGCTTGATAGGTGCACTGGTTATGTGTTGAATGACATAATGATTAATGTATAATTTTGGCTTTCAGAAATAACTAATGTCAAATGTTGCAGGTTTTCTGTTTAGTGAACACAGCAGTTACTACCTTCATGGCTGGAGGGCTTTGGAAGCCCTGGCAGTGATGCTGAAGGTGTGATTGGACAAAACAGTGACCATGTGGACACTTCCTATTTGAGATCACCAATAGATGACCATGAATAAAGTATTATGATATGCAACTAACTGGCAGGAAAAAATAAGAGGACAGATGCCATGAACATCTGTGAAAGGACAGTAACAGGATAGCCCAAACAATCATGTGGTATAAACCTAGAGGATGCTGAGACATAGGACAATTCAAAAAAAAAGATTGAAGGATTCATTCTGAGTTAGTATGTGCCAGAGGCTTGTCTTGCAGCTTATGATGACTGAATAAAATTTCATCATTATGCAGAACATGCTTCTTCCACTTCTAGTTCTATTTTGAAGACAGACCAGTACCAAAAACAGCGAAACAACGAAGGTGAAGAATGTTCTGTGTTTGGAAGGCACTAAAAACAATAGGCAAGTAAATAATGAACGAGGAAGAGATGATTTCAAGCTTGATAATCAAACAGAACTTCAGCCAAAATGACTCCATACAGTACCAATAGAGAGAAGTTCAAAGTTTTTTATGGACAGATCTAGACAAATTATAAATAACCAAAAATGCGAGAGGGAAGTGAGGTTGAATTTAAAAAATCATAAATTTGCAATTTTACACCACAATTTTCAAAGTCTATTATATAAGCAAATGGAATTACCAGTCCTCTTGAATACTAGTATACAAAGTATAGATGCCTTGTGTTTTACAGAACACTGGTTGGCAGAAGACTGACTAGACTTGTCAAAGATTAATAATTTTAAACTGGTTAGTAAATTTTGTAGGAAGGACTGTAAAAACAGAGGATCCTGTATATTTGTAAACAAAGAGTTAAATACTAGGGAAATCACTTTCCTTAAGAACCTGGCCTGTGAACAACACTTTCAGATATCTGCAGTAGAACTTGTAGAGTTCCAATGGTTATTAATCTGTATTTACAGATCCACTCACAGTGATGTTCATATATTTTTGGGCAAACTAGAAACACTTGTTGACAGACTACATAAAAAAGAAAAAATTAATAATTTGTGGAGACTGGAATATAAACCTTCTCCAGGAGAATGAGCAGGTACAGGCACTTGAAAATATACTAGTATCTTATAATTTAATAAATACAGTTGCTGTACCAACAAGAGTTTCCAGTAGTTCAGAATCTTTGATAGATAATGTTATATTTTAGCGTCCTGTTGCACTGATTTAAGTCCATGATTTACAAAGTCAATAGAAAGTCCGTCGAGTGTAACAATTTTTTAGGTCACTTCTTTATCACTTTTGCCTTACATGTTTCGGTTTAATAAAACCATCATCAGAGGCACATAGTACAATCATGAAAACACTGTCGTTGTTTAAATGTACACAGTATATATGCTGCGTGGACGCTGCTACAGTATGTCGATGTGTAAAAGCACAACACTTGCTAGGATTATTGAATGCACGTTCAACTCTCACATTCCATCCGAAATTGCCCTCAAGTTAAAACGTCAATGTTAAAATATTTAAAAATTTAAAACATTTGAAGTAAAATGTT